CCGACACGCAGCTCTGTGCATCATAATCGCTTAACGTCATCGCGTCGATTTTGATCGTAGTACGAGCGTCGACGAAAGCGCAAACGTATTTAAAAACAACAGCTACGCTCGCTAAGACGGGGTGCTGCTGACGCCTCGCAAGCAATGGGAAAGGTGAACGGAACGTGTGAACGACGATGAGAGAAATCATGGTGTAACGATAACGCAAAAACTAAAAAACAAACAAATGAAATCTTAAAAGAAAGAAATCGTTAAAGTGTTAGGTGTCCGTTAACATTCGCCCCGGAATCTCTCCCAGTCATCGGAATCTTCGAATCATCGAAAGTTAAAGGCACAGATTCCTCCGATATCCTTGTATCCTGATAATAATTAACCACTCCGAACGCATCGGCAGCCGATGACGTACTCCTACGTCGTTCTTTTGCTCGCTGGCCGCTGACGTAGCTCCACGCCGTTTCATATTTACAGCCAGTTATATGCATTTTAAATTTACTAGCACTTCGTCATTCGGATTTACGATTACCGCGGCCGGCCAAAAATAAATTTCTATAGCCGCATGCGTCTCGTCACACGTTGTAGAACTATTAAACTTTTACTATCGAGTTTCACGTTTGAATTTATTATTAGACGCCACGTGGAATTGTTATTTAGTTTCATTCTCACAAAAAATTCATCCTTCCTCGAAAAATAGATGTCTAGAATTCAAAAAAACTTCTCCGATACCTCCGTACTCGTATCTCCCGTTTCTTTTTCAATTTTTAAATTCTATGTCTCACGTCCGAATTTCCTTCAGCTTCAACCTTGAAGTTCCGAAAAAGAAGCAATTAAGAAGAATATCCGTCATTTTCACTCCCATTTTAATGAATCCCGCGACAGTCGTAGATTCCAGAAACCGCAAGCGCTGCGAAGGAGTTCAGGACGCGGCCAAATCGATGGAGCGGGCCAGAGATTTACTGTTGCTTCTTCTTCTTCTTGTTCACCGAGGCATCCACCCCCCAGAGATCGTACCAAGGTCCGCACGTATTTTTATCCCTTTCCCGATCCGAGTCCCTGCGGAGCTTAGTCCTCGGTAGCAGGGTCTTTTCAGCGACTGTTTGATCCTTAACGACGATGCAGCTGTACGTGGACTCCTCGTCGGACGCCTCGGTCTCGCTGAAATTCTGCGTCATTCCGTCCTCATCGTCGGTGTACTTTTTCCTCCTTTCGTTCCTCTTCGCCTCATTATTCTCCTTCAGCTCGGCTACAATCATATTCCTCTTAGCCTCCAAGCTGCGCTTCCGCTCTTTCTCGATAATAGCCTTTCTAGACACGTTGCCCATGAAGTAGGACCTCTCCTCCTGATGCATCCTGTACTCCGACCTCTCTACAGCTTTAGGTCTCTCGGCCGGCGTAGGGAAATCCTCGAAATAATCAGACTTCTCCGGCACGTGACTCCTTTCAGCAGGCTTCAGATCTTCCGGCCGAGTCTCGTTGGTGATCGTCACATCGCTGTTCCTCGTCTCCAGACTGTGCCGGGAGTTAGGGCTGCCTTCCGGAGTCTGCTTCTTAGGCTCCTCGGAGTTCCCACTGTCGTCCTTCGACTCCTTCTTAATCATCTTGGGGATATCCACCAAAGACCTGTGCTGCCACAAAGCCATGCCTTCGAGGACATCGGAATCCCTTCTGAACCTCCAGAAAGACTTAGTCCTCTTCACCAATTTAGGACTCTTGGAGTCGTCGAAGGCTCTGCCGGTTTGAATCAGGTGTCCAACCGCAGTGGTCTGCCTAGGTAGCAAAGGTTTCCTATTGTCGTCCTTCAAAGTGTTGTTATTAGTGTCGTTCTTCTCCAGACTCCGTTGCTCGTTCCTAGGGAACTTCTGAAGGTTCCCCTGCCCCAACGAGTTCTGGTATCCGTGTCTCTCGATCACCTTCGTCCTCTCCAGCTTGGTCTCGAAGTTCGACTCGTACCCGCGCTCCTTGTCGACGGTTACCTCTCTGACAAACCTGGTTTCTCCGTAGATAGCTTCCTCTTTGTCGGAGAATCTACGCTCTCTGTAGACGCTTCTAGGCTCGGTGGGTCTCTCGGGCGCTTCCTCGGAAGGCGGCCTGGGTCTCTCGAACCGTCTACCGGAAGCTCTTTCAACGTTCCTGTTCCTGTCGGGGTTCTTCTCGAAGGTCCTGTCCCTTTCGTAGGTAGACGTCTTCCGCATCGGCGTGGACTTCTCGAAATAACGATCCCGTTCGCGCTCGTACCTCTGAGGGCCCCTGTTCCTCTCGGTTTCATTGTATCTTTCGTAAGGCGGCGGCGCCTGCTTCTCCTCCCTGCGATCGAAGCTGCGATAGTCCCGACGCTCGATGAACTTCGGCGGACTGTGCTCCCTGGCGTACTTCTGCGCGGTCTGCTCCAACTTCTGAGCGATGTGCTCGACCTTCCGGCCAGTCTCCGGTATGGTGATCGTGCTCTCGTCATCGGTGCCGGACGAAGAGGCCGACGACGACTTCTCGTTCTCGTACTTAGGCTCTTCCTGCTCTGAATTGCGGTAGCCGCGTCGAGAATTGCGCTCCTGGCTGTCTACCCTGTCCGTGTAATACTTTTTCCCGTCGTACTTCTGATACTCGATCCTGGCACTGTAGCTGTCCTCTTCTTCTTCCTCCAACTCGATTTCATCTTCCTCGGTTTCCTCGTGGTCCTTGCCTCTCTTCGACTCACGGCGATCCTGCTCCTGGTCGTTCTTCCTCCGAGACGAACTCCTGGATTGCTCCTCGTTGCTGGTCGACTTGGACTTGTGACTGGAATTGCCGTGGCCGCGGCTTTCGTACTCGTTCTTCTGCTTTTCCTGGGACTTCTTGCCGGACTTCCTGCTAGGTCCGTTCTCCATGGTGCCACGGACCGAGTAGTCTCTGCCGTTCTTCCGGTCCTGGCTGTCGTAATGGCGGTTAGAGGTGTACCTGCCTTCGCCGTTCTCGTTGCTCTGGTTCGCGTTCGACTCCGCCCACAGGTCCATCGCGGTCCTGTACAGCTGCCAGCTCTTCTC